TCTTCACATATGTACACCTTAAGAGATATCAAGTAGGCGTAACATGTTCTCAAAAAATTAGGGCTGGCACACAGAAGAATTTTGAGTCAGGGATTTTGCTGGTTTTGGCACGCACTCACAAAAAGGTTACCCAACCCTGGTTTAGAATCATATAGGTGAAACTATTTACTTAAGCATCTATAACAATAAAAGCATAATATGCTAATTAGACTGGACGTCCTTCCAAACGACCTTCTGGATGAAGGCAGGGCTGTGAGGGAAGCCCAGGTCCCGGGTGCCAGAGGGAAGCCAGTGCTGGCAGTCGGGGGAAGAAAGCCTACTCTTGCACAAACTTTGTGCATCGGGCCTCTAGTCAAATATAAATCTGACAATTACATTAAAAAATTTAGAAAATCATCAAAGAATAAGTTAATGACTATGCAAAAAATAAATACAGGAAGAAAGCTAGTATTCTCATCAGCATTACTGGGTCATAATATCCTATGAAAATAGTCTGCTTAAAGGATTGCCCAGCTGAGCCGGCTGGTGTGGCTCAGGAATTGAGCACTGACCCAGGAACCAAGGTCACAGGTTCCATTCCCCATCAGGGCACATGCCTGGATTGCAGCTCCATTCCCAGTAGGGGGTGTGCAAGAGGCAGCCGATCAATGTTTCTCATTGATGTTTCTTTCTATCCATCTCTCTCCTTTAAAAAAATAAATCAATAAAAACGTTTTGTGTTTTTATTTTTAAAGAACTGAACTACATGAGATGTCCTTTCTCATTTAGAGAGAAAGCTATTGAGAATATTTTGGCTGAAATAGCAATAGGAGGTAGGATAAAGAGCCTCAACAAGAGTTAAATTCAGACTAAATTCATTTTCATAGTTAACTCTTACACACCTTACTTGCCTTTTCATGCAAAAAAAGCTAACAAGGTACTGAGGAAGGTCAAATGACAATTTCCTGTCAGAAACTGTTATTTATCAGTCAAATGAATTCTCTTTCATTTAAAGAAATAAAGGCATAATGATAGATTACTTTAAAGGGTCAGGTAAGATCTAAAAATAAAATCAGCTCACTAACTAGTTAATAAATACGGGTACATTCATATGATGAAATGCCTCATTGTTAAAAAACAAAAATGAAGCTCTTTTTGCTAAGCAGTATTGAGTGGGTTAAAGCAAGATATATGATGGTGTATATAGTAGACTATCATTTGTATAAAAGGAGGGGAGAGTATATACGTATTTGCTTGTGTATGAATATATACCTCTGAATGAATAACTGGCAATACTCGGACGACTTGGTGGGGGCGACAGACACACACACACACACACACACACACACACACACAGACTTTTCCTATAAATTTTGTTTTGAATTATGAATTATCTGAATGACATTAAAAAATAAAACTGAAAATATAAAACTGTAGTATTCCTCTTTTCCATTATTTTACCAAGTATGATCTCTCCTTCCTTTGATATTCTGCCTTATTAGTCATCGCGCCCTCAAAGTTCCTTTAGAGTAGCGACAAGACAGTGCAATTCATCTTTGGATTTGCTGCAGCTTCTACTCCATTCATTAATAATGAATAATTTAAAAATAAAAAATATTTGTTGGGCACTTGTGTAATTTAATATGTATCAACTTATTTAAACAGTTTACATGTATTAATTTATTTAATTCCCACATTTCTATGAGGTGGATATTGTACCTTTATGACCAAGCAAACTGAGGTATGGAGAAGAAACCTGCTCCATGTCCCACAGCTAGGAAGTTAAAATAAGGCTTAAAAATGAGTATCTATCATTGAGTCCCTAAGGAGGTACTTTATCTCATGACCCTGTAAAAATGGTGGTATTATTCTAATTTAACAAATAAGAAAACTGAGGCTGAGGAAGATTAAAAAATTCCCGGTAAGTCACAAATTTCCTTGAGGGTAGGCACATGACAATAGTGTCAGCAGGGATTCTAACACCTAATGCTCTTTCCACTAACTACATTCTGTCACAGTGAATGCTAACTAAATACCTGAATTACCACAAACTGTTGTCTCAAGTGATACTGCAGTAGAAATGAGTTCACACATTAAAAGAAAATCCTTGCCCTGACTGGTTTGGCTCAGTGGATAGAGCGTCGGCCTGCGGACTGAAGGGTCCCGGGTTCGATTCCGGTCAAGGGCATGTACCTTGGTTGTGGGCACATCCTCAGTAGGGAGTGTGCAAAAGGCAGCTGAATTGATGTTTCTCTCTCATCAATGTTTCTGACTATCCCTCTCCCTTTCTCTGTAAAAAAAAAAAATCAATAAAATATATTTAAAAAAAAAGAAAAGAAAATCCTTGCCTTTTTTCTATTCCGTCTACTATATCCTTACATTCAGATTTGATCTCTTAACTATTCAATTAAAAAGCCATCACTGTGACACTGTACGTCAAGAAAGATATGCTTATAAGACTGTGTTACAGGCAAACAAGTGCATATAACTGAATCTAGTAAGGTATTTATGGAATAAATGAAATTATAAATTTCAGTGATACATTGTAAGCATTAAGTTGCAAGAACATTTTTTCTACTGTAGAAGAGGAAAAATATTTTTAAATTGACATGAAGTGGGGAATACATACATGTGGGACAAAAGTAGGTTGCTATTCATATGGAAAATGATATCATTAATAATACAATAATTAATAAATTGTAATACAAGAATAAACTCTTTCTTGTACTAACAACTGTAAACCTGTTTTTGCCCACCATGTACTTGGTTTTACTATAACCTTACAACTGTAAGCCTATTTTTGCCCCACCCTGTACTTGGTTTTTAATATAACCATATTATATTCCAAAACAACAAAACACAATGTCTTAGAATGTGACGAAATAAAGCTACTTCTCTATGAAGAAAAGTTTCTATTTGTCATATCTAATCAAGAATATAAATTTTAGAAAGCAGAAAAAGGAAGTTGCCGTTTTATAGATCAGGTTTCTAAGTTTCCTTAGGCTCTTACATGAAAAAAGTCATTCAAAAGGGGTACCAGCTTTAAATCCCATAAGTGCCTTTTAACATTTTTCAGTCAATTTGTGTCAAAAATTCATTCATTTTCTGAATACATGGTCCATTAATAAATTAATCACAGATTTAACTGTGATTTTTTTACTGATCCGTGAGAGGGGGTAGAAGTGTAATTTTTAGTACCATGCTCCATGTGAATGTTCACATATTAATGAATATAAAAGTTTGAAAAGTTTCACTTGGAATTGCTAAGAATGAACAGATTATGAATTTATAAATAAAGTTTAAATTTTCATAGAGGACGAGTTGTCCTAATATTCTCTGTAGGAGAAAAACGTTCCTCAACTGATGCTGGGTTTCAGAAAATCTTTCTTAAGGAAAAACAGTAATCTATAACATCATCAATACTACAATTTCCTCAGTGTTTGTCAATAAAATCATCTTCTCAGTCCTTATGGAAAAACTCTTTATTGCATTTTCTTAATTTTTTCAACAATGACAAATTGCTAATGTGTGTTTAAGACTTGTAAGACAGCAAAGTAGGTTTTGAAAAAGTGACCTGGCAACAGGAAAATAAGAGGGCTTCTATTACCAATCAGTATTTATTCCTAACAAGAAACCTTGTATATTAACTAGTTCTAGTGAAATGTGGCAGACCAAGTGTTTTTAAAACAAATAATTCGTTCATCTTTTGCAACACCTAAAAATAACCGTTTTTTTTTTTGTTTTTTTTTTTTACTTTTAAATCAGGAAATAAGTAGTGAGTGTAAAAGATTTCAATAGCTGGCAACCAAAAGTATCTTTTATACTAAACCTTTAGGAGGTGGAACTGATGTAAGCTAAGGCCGGAATGAAATTCTAACTCCTAAAAGAGGGTACGACACACTTAAATAGGTCATACCGCAGGTCCGCTAAAAATCATCTTTTTAATCTTTAATGTGTCAATGACTTTCCTGCCATGCCTTTTCCTAACAAAGAAAAAATAAGCCTTGTGGCTTAAACCGTCAGCCTCCGGTCGGGGTTACCCACCGCATTCGGGAGACAAATAGTGGATATTTTAAAAATGCCTATTTTTAGAATTAGTATTAATCAATATGTTCACGTTTAGACAGAAATATGTGGGGAAACATGGTGGCGGGAGGCGGGGTGGAGCGATCCAGGGGACCCAAACGCGTTGGCATGGTTGGCAAGAAAAAAAAAAAAAAACACACATAAAAAGTGATGTAAAGCAAAAGTACATCGACCAAAAACGAAGTGTTTCACAATGATAGATCTCAAGCGATCACCTTATTGAAAAGGGTTAAAAGCGAAACTGTTTTTCAAACACCAGCTTCCCTTTTACCCAACTGTTTCAAACTTATTAGAAATGTTTTTTTTCTTAGCAACCCCTTCCTCCCAAAAAGAATGCATTTCCATGACTACTGTCTTAGGGGGGGAGAAAAATAAAAATAAAAAGAGGTGAGGGGAAAAGAGTCAAAACTACCTAAAAATGCACAAGCCCTCCTCGCTTCCCGGACAAGAAAAACCAAGGGTACCCGCCATGGTGTGGAGCGAGCGGGGGAAAAGGGCACGAACAAGATACAGGACGAGAAGAAGCCGTGGGT